GATGTTCACTCTACTGTGTCTATCCCACACTTTCCTGAGATGTTCTGTGGACCGTCATGCAGCAAAGCGGCTGGGCATTAGCCAGGGTCAATGGTGTGATCTGGGAGAGCCCAAACTGAGCAGTGTTCCGGTGTGTGGCCAGTGTGGAGCAGCTGCTGGCCACTGTGGCCTGAGGCAGGAGTTGCCAGCAGGACCTTGAGCTGCACTGCAGGAGATCTCGGCTTCAGAACCCACAAGGTAGGTGGCCAGGGTTCTTCCTAACGTTGACCTGACCTGGGCCTGGTGAGGTACAGTAGTCGCAGCCCAGAGGATGCAGGAATCAGCTCAATCCAGGGATGGCCAACTGACCCCTCAGGGTAGACAGAAGCTTACCCCAACTGTTTTCTGTCCTATCTCTTTTATATTCAACTTGCCACAAATGTTGTTCCAGGTTCTATGTTTCTCCCTTTAGAATATATTACCCTATTGCTGTTTTTCTTCCATCCTCATCAACTTCTCTGTGCCCCAGGGCTTCATTATTGCAGGGCTCTCAGCTGGGCCCTGTGGCAGGTCTCTCCAGATTTCCCAAACCATGTGTCTTTATCTTTATGAATGGACGCATCTCTGTGGGCTCTGCTTCCACCCTGCACATGCCTGTTTAGGAAGCTCCAAGGCCTTCCTGGGCAAGCAAACCCTTGTGCTGGGAATGCAGGGACCCTGGGGTTGACCTTCTCATGCAACCTAACCCCTGCTCCCCAGCATGTGGTTTCTTAGTATGGGGTATGTGGCATGGCTGCTACAGTGATTTATGTTGATAATAATAGCTCATCTTTGCATGTTGCTGATCATTCCTCCTTTTACCAGTTAGAGAAATTAGAGAAAAGTTTGCCTCAAATTAAAGCCACTATTGCTCTGTGTCACTTCACTGAATGTCTTTTCTTACAAAGGAACAAGTTCCAGATTTCAGGGGAGGACTACAAAAGGCTCTGGCCCTTGGCATGAGCTTGGAGTGTGAGCATCCCGTGCAATACATGCTGCATGTCTTTTTTTTTTTTCCTTTTTTTTGTCTTTTTTCGTGTCCGGCAACGGACCGCAACCCTCA